TAACACCATCTCTTGGAAGTTTCCAGATGTAATGGGAATCTCTGTGGGCATCCGAATTGTATTTCCCTGTTAGTTTATTGATGTAATTAGGCAATCTCAAGCTCTTCCCGCTCGCCCCAGGCCGGGATGACCAGAGAGCGGACTGCATCCTGTACTATGGGTTTGGGGACATCTTCAGAGTCAGCTCCATGGTGGTCATGGAGAACGTCGGGCAGCAGAAGCTGTACGAGATGGTGTCTTACTGCCACAACATAAGCACGTAAGCCGCTCGCCTTCCTCTGAGCTGCCTTGTTTTTTTTTTCCGTGCTAGTACTGAGATTTGAACTCAGGACCTTGCACTTTGACTGGGCTATTTTTTGGCCCCAGGCTGGTGCTCTACCACTTTGAGCCACAGCTTCTAGCTTTTTGGTGGTTCCTTGGAGATAAGAACCTCATGGGTGTTTCTGCCCGGGCTGGCCTCGAACCCGGATCCTCAAGCTCCCGGCCTCGGTTCTTGGGACTCACGCGGGCGTTGGTGTCTTGTCACGTGCCGGCAGGTGTCGCCGCGTGTGCATCGCTCAGCACTTTGATGAGGTGTGGAACTCGGATGCCTGTGACAAGATGTGTGACAACTGCTGTAAAGACACGGGTAAGTGCGCCACCTTGTGGGCCCTTCCTGGCATTTCTGCCCGGCCGGGACTGCAGGGGGTGGGCGGGAGACCAAGCGGATCACACCAGTGGAACACAGGGTCTCTGCTTGCCTTTCCCAGACTCAGAAACAGTCCAGACTTTTAGATGAAAGGCGGCCACGTCGCATGGACACACGCATGATTCCCAGCGTGGCCCGGCCCGTGCACAATGTGGAGCTAATAAGGAAAAGCCAGCAGTTCTCCGATTGGAAATACTGTGATGTACTATTAAGACCAGGCGCTGGTGGCTCCCGCCTGTCAGCCCAGCTACTCAGGAGGCTGAGATCGGAGGATCGTGGTTCAAAGCCAGCCCGGGCAGGAAAGTCCTTGGGACCCTGACTTCTAATAAACCGCTCAGAAAACTGGAAGTGGCGCTGTGGTTCAAGTGGTAGAGCACCAGCCTTGAGGGTAAAAGCTAAGGGACTTGAGGCCCCGAGTTCAAGCCCCGGTACTGGCATGTACACACACACACACATGTTTAGGATGCCTCACACTGGTGGTGGATTTTATTCTATTTTTTTGTCGGTTGTGGGACTTGAACTCAGGGCCTGGGCGCTGTCCCTCAGCTCTTCAGCTCAAGGCTGGTGCTCTACCACTTGAGCCATGGCGCCGCTTCTGGTTTTCTGAGTGGTTCATGGGAGATCAGAGTCTCATGGACTTTTCCACCAGGATCCTCAGATCTCAGCCTCCTGAGCAGCTGGGATGGCAGGCGGGAGCCATGGGCACCGGGCTGAGGGTGGGTCTTACACCAGAGTGCTCACACCCAGCCTGTGCCCTGCAGCAGTGGAGGAGAAGAACATCGCGGAACACTGCAGGGAGCTGGTGCAGATCTTGCGGCAGGCAGAGGGGCTGGGGGAGAAGCTCACGCCCCTGAAGCTCTTGGACTCCTGGCTGGGCAAAGGCCCCGCGAAGCTGAGGGTGGCCGGCGTGCTGGCTCCCGCGCTGCCCCGGGAGGAGCTGGAGAAAATCATCGCGCACCTGCTCCTGCAGCAGTACCTCAGGTAAGTACCGTGCACAGCACTTCCCGCTTCCGGATGCCCCTACGACTGCTTCCTGCCGGGCGCCGTGGCTCCCGCCTGCCATCCCAGCTCCTCAGGAGGCTGAGGGCTGAGGATCGCAGTTCACAGCCAGCCTCAAGAAAGTCCCGGAGACTCTGATGGCTAAGGAACCACCAAAAGGCTGGATGTAGAGCTGTGGCTCACGTGGTAGAGCGCCAGCCTTGAGCAAAAAAAAAAAATAAGCTCAGAGACAGCGCCCAGTCCCTGAGTTCAAGCCCCAGGACTGGCACACGCACACACACGCACCACACACCTGTTTTGTAATGAAGTGCAGCAGAATCTGCTCTCGTAGCTATTTTTAAAAACAATAGGAAACAATTTAAGAAACTCCACCTTTAATTAACCGCCACACATCCCCAAAAGTACACAACTCTCCCCTAGATTGTTTCACTATAAAATACCCCAAAAAAATCAATGTGTAAAATCTTTTCATAGTAAACCTTATCAATAGAACCTTCTTAGCCCAAACCCCTGCAGGTTTATTGCTTAATTTAGAACTCTGATGCTTTTATTGCCATGTGTTATAATAAAAGACTCATTTGCAGGGGGCTGGGAAGGTGGCTCAGTGGTAGAGCGCTTGCCTTGCATGCCTGAGGCCCTGGGTTCAATTCCTCAGCACCACATAAGAAAAAAGCCGGAAGTGGCGCTGTGGCTCAAGTGGTAGAGCGCCAGCCTTGAGCTGAAGAGCTGAGGGACAGCGCCCAGGCCAGAGTTCAGGCCCCAGCACCGGACCCCCAAGAAAATGTGTGTGTGTGTTGTGGTACTGTTACTGAGTCTTGAACTCAGGGCTTCTGCTTTGATTGACTTTTGTGCTCAAGGCTGGTGCTCCACTACTTGAGCCACAGTGCCACTTTGGCCTTTTTGGTGGTTCCTTGGAGATCAGAGTCTCACAGACTTTCCTGCCCGGGCTGGCCTTGAACCGCAGTCCTCAGATCTCAGCCTCCTGAGTAGCTGGGATGACAGGCGGGAGCACCAGCGCCCGGCTAGGCCTAGGCGCGGATTCTCCTTTGTGAACGGGTTGGTTGCGTTCTGTTTCTGTGACCCGTGGTTTTCTGCCTGTGAAGGGAGGATTACAGCTTCACGGCGTACGCCACCATCTCGTATTTGAAGGTGGGACCGAAAGCCAATCTTCTGAGCAGCAAGACGCACGTCATCGCCATGCAAGTGAAGAAGGCCGCCGCCGCCGGCAGCCTCAGGGTAACGGGGAACCTTGAGCTCCATTTGCACGCGCGCGTGTCCACACAGCACCGGTGTCGGTGCCCCTGCCCGAGAGTCAGAACCCGAGACACAGGCCAGGGGATTTTCTTCCTATGTGGATGCTCAGTTTGCAAGTACGGATTTTGACTAGACTAAGGGAGACCAAGCGTGGCCCGCCTGGTAGATGGGAGCATTCCCTTTATTTCAAAGGTGTTTATGCTGCAGCTGTGGGGCTTGAACTCAGGGCCCTTGTGCTCAGGGCTGGCGCTCCAGCACTTCTGAGCCACAGCTCCACACCTGGTTTTCTGGTGGTTCTATGGAGAGCAGAGTCTCACGGATTTTCCTGCCCGGGCTGGCTTTGAACCGTGATCCTCAGATCTCAGCCTCCTGAGGAGCTGGGATGACAGGCGTGAGCCACGGTGCCCAGCAGAGAGCCCACTGCAAACCCCACTCTCAGATGGTCCTAGGGGAAGAGCACAAAAGGCGCAATGCCTTTGCACCTCGAAATCATACAAAAAATCTTGTTTATCGAGACGGACGCCAGGAAATGGAAACGAAGTTTTTTTATTTATTGCTGTTTTTTGTTTTCCTTTAGTCTTGTATGTGGGTTTCTCTGTCTCTGGGAGGGCGAGGGGGGCACAGGAATGGGGGGACAGAGGGGAAACCAAGGCAGCCGGGGTCCTCACTGGACACAGGTGGAGAATGAACTCCACCACGCGTGGGTGGGGACGGGAGCTTTGGTCTGTGTGTGTGCTGGGCACCACCAGTGGATTTTGGGGTTCCTGGCAGTCTCGTTCTGGCATAGAACTCCACACCCCCATTCCCAGCAGAGCTCAAGAGCGCGCGGACAGACAGGGTGTTCTGAGCTTGATGAGGAGCCGGGCTTGGAAGCGGTCCCTGCTCATCCTGGGATTTTCTTGTAGGCGGAGTCATCCAACACTTCTCGGTCGGATCGAGCTGGTGAAATGGGGGAAAGGGACGCTTCGGGAAACTTCCAGAAGTCGGCACGCACGCCGCAGCACTCTGGGGCCAAGAAGAGGAAGGTGGAGGTTGATGGCTGAGGCGCGGGCTGGCCGTCCTGGCAGGAGCCTGCGCGCGGGGCGGGCGTCGGTCCCGCGTCTGCACACGGCCCTCTCTCAAGGCCTCTCTGCAGACGTGGGGACCCAGAGCCCCTGGGACGCCGAACACGGCGAAGGACGTCATTTTCCAGAATGAAACAAGGGAAAAGAAATCCCGGCTCGATGACATAGTTGAGAACGGCTTTCTAGAACCGTGGGGGGCTCTGCAGACTTCCACCCACCTGACTGCGTTTACTTCAGCTGTAACTTGCGGTGCCCTTCCTTCCGTGTGTGACTGCTGCTCCTGCTCTCGAACCCACAGCCTCCCGATCTCCTCCCGTTTTCGCTTGGCCCACGGCTGGTGAGCCATGCCCCCGTTCTAGCTTTTCGGTGGTCTTCAGAGGTGAGAACCTCAAGGATTCGAATGTTCCTCCCTGTGGTTTCAAACTATCAGTGTCCTGAGTTGCTGGAATTGCAGGCTTGAGCACTGGTACCTAGCTGTGTCTTTTTTTTGGTGCCTGTGGTGGGATTTGAACTCAGAGCCTAGTGTGCTGTTGCCTGAGCTTTTCTGCTCAAGGGCTAGTGCTCTACCACTGGAGCCACAGTGCCAACTTGGACTTCTTGCTGGTTTACTGAAGAGTCCTACTGACTTTTCTGGGAGGCTGGCTTTGAACTGCGATCCTTAGATCTCAGCTTCCTGGGTAGCTGGGATTACAGGCGTGAACCACGCAGCTAACTTTGAACAGCAATATGACTCTGATGTAGGCTCATCATTCCCAGTGAGTGACATCTATTTAGCTGAATAATGTAGATGCCAGGCGATAAAAAACAGCTGTAATTCAAATACAAAGAAGGCGTTATTACCAATCTTAACAAGCAAGGCGCTCCCACCATTTTATTTAAATAAAACTCAGAGCTTTCAAAATCCCAGCTTGGTTTTGCGGCTTTCCGGGGCGTGCTGAGCGCTTGGTGGCGAAGCTGAATTCACCTGAGCAAACGGGGTGAGTTTAAAACACAGACACCGGGTGACTGGGGATTTCCTCACGTAGGTGGCCCGTGTTTTCCGATCAGAACGCAGCATCTTTCTATAAATTATGTACGCGGATCTTATCGTAAGCAGTTGCCTTTCTCTTCATGTTTTCCAGCAAAACCATGGTCGCTTCTGCATTTAGGACTCCAGAGTGACTCATTTCCTGTGGTTCTTCGAGAAACTCCCATGCTATGCTAGTCAAAATAATCTTCTATGTCAACGTTGGGGTCCAGGAGGTCTTCTCCGTAGCGGGACAGGTCCATTTGGTTTAGGATTAGGTTTTCGAATGTCTCCTCCAAGTCCGTTTCCCCGATGAGCACGGCGCCCACCATGCGCCCGTCCTGCAGCACGACCTTCACGTACTCCAGCCCCTGCGTGCACCGCAGCATTAACTCGTGGTCTGCGCCCAGGCCCTGCGCGTTGTACTTTCCCAACAATACGACCTGGAGGGGGGGGGGAGGAGAGGATTGTGATGTCACAGTCCTGTGTGGTCACGTGACCAGCCAGCAGAACGCAACATGGCGGCGAGAGGAGGAAGATCGCGTCTGGAGAACGAGTGTCCGTTCTGCAGACGGCTTGCCTCGCGGTCCACGTGAATCCTGAAGTATCAGTGCCTGCGTGCTCAGGATGGCTAGTTCCACCGGGACACGTGCCAGGAGAATGCGAAAGCTAAGGGAGCAGCAGGGAAATGTAGAGAAGGGACTGAATTACCTCCATGACTGGACAGTCAAGGTTTAGTGAGGGACTTAGATCTTTCATTTCCCCGAGACGTGCAATTCTGCCTCGTAGTGACACATGGAGGAACGAAGCCTCCACTGGAACTCCTCACCAGGGAACGAGTCCCGAGAGATGCTTCTCCCCTCTGATACAGTGCCAGCGAGACGATGACACATAGCAATTTCAACCAGCATTAGGAGGTACTGAGTTGCAAGCACTGAGAACATTAACCCTTCTCTGTATCAGTGCTGGGGCTTGAACTCAGGGCCTGGGTGCTGCCCAGGGTGCCAGCCTTTTACTGGTTCATGAGACATGAGTCCCTCTGGTTGGTCTGCCCGGACTGGGTTCAAATTGTGATCCTAGGCTCTCAGCCTCCTGCGTAGCCAGGATGACAGGCGTGAGCCAGCAGCGGCTGGCTGGGCATTCACTTTGAATGAAGTGATGAGGGACGTGGTATTGGGGGGCAGGGATTATGGGATCCATCACGGTGGACTGGTGAGCAGAAAGGCCGCTGATTTGTTCACTACCTTACCTTATAGTTGAAGAATTTTGTTACGTGTGCAAAGAGCTCAAAGCTGAAATCCATGTCGATTGGGTCTCCCAGAAGGTCCGCAGCCATGCACTTGGCCGCGTACCAGCCCATTTGCCTGGCCTGGGTCCACAGCCTCATCTGAGCAAACACAGGATTAGTATCATCATCACCATCATCATCATCATCATCATCATTATTGAACTCAGGGCCTGGGCGCTGTCCCTGAGCTGCTTTTGCTTAAGGCCAGGGCTCTACCGCTTGAACCACAGCTCCACTTCGGGTTTTCACTGGAGATGAGGGTCTCTGGGACATTTCCTGCTCGGGCTGGTTTCCAACCCTGACCCTCCAGATCTCAGCCTCCTGAGTAGCGAGGATGACAGGCGGTAGTATATAGAGAAATTTCTGTAATAGAAACCATCTACTTCTATAGGACTTGCCCGAAAATGTCAGAGAGCAGCCCCGTGATAGCTTTCTGCTTGAAGCAGAAAAGCCGAGAAACTGGGAAGGGGTCCTGCGGAGGGGAATGCCTGTGACTGCTGTCCCGTGGGCCTGCGTGGGCTCACCTGCTGCCACACGGGGCTGGGCTTCCAGGACGCTGAGCAGATGTCGCCGGCGGCGTAGACGTCAGGAAGGGACGTGCGCATGTGCTCATCCACTCGCAGGCCGCCGTCTTCTCCTAGGTCAAACTGGACAGAGTTCCTCCTGAGTTTGCCAGTCGCGTGGGTGGCGCCCGCCTGTCGTCCCAGCCCCTCAGGAGGCTGAGATCTGAGGATCGTGGTTCAAAGCCAGCCCAGGCAGGAAAGTCCCTGAGACTCTTATCACCAATGAACCAGCAAAAAGCCAGGAGTGGAGGTGTGGCTCAAGTGGTAGAGCATCAGCTTTGAGTGAAAAAAACTCCAAGGGATAGCACCCAGGCCCTGAGTTCAAGTCCCAGGACTGGCAAAAAAAAGTTATGCTAATCTTTAATGACAATGACAAATAGCATCAACATAAACCCAAATTCTGTGCATTTCCAGGAATCAACTCCTATTAGAACACACAACATTGAAAAATACTCAATAATGATCAGCCACGCACTGGTGGTTTGTGGCTCAGCTATGAATGAGCTACTCAGGAGGCTGAGAGAGAGACGATCAAGGTTCAGAGCCAGGCTGAACAGACAGCTTGAGACGCCATCTCCAAAATAATAAGCAAAACACGGGTGTGGAGGTGTGGTTCAAGGGACAGAGCATGAGGTCCTGAGCTCAATCTCCGGTGGGGGCAGAAACACTGAAAACATAACTGTGATCTCATGAGTCATTACAAGGACATTCCATTCATTCATTCATTCATTCATTCATTCATATCAGTCTGGGGCTTGAACTCAGGGCCTGGGCGCTGTCCCTGAGCTTTATTACCCAAGGCTGGCGCTCTACCATTTGAGCCACAGCGCCACTTCGGGCTTTTTCTGTGTAGGTGGTGCTGAGGAATGGAACCCAGGGCTTTGTGCGTGCTAGGTGAGTGCTCTACCCCTGAGCCACCTGCCCAGCCTGTTTGAGGATTTGAAGCCGCGAAGCCCACCGTGGGCCGGCCCACGGCTCACCTCGTTCCCGTGGAGGAAGGGCTGCGTGTTCGGAATGACGCCGGTCGCACTGATGATGAAGTCACAGCCGTAGAGCTTCTCATTGGTCAGCTCCACATACACCGGCCACAGGTCTGTGGAGGGAAAGGAGAAACCTCACGTTGTTCTCAGAGGACGTCCTGAATGTCCACAGTGTTACGTGGACACCGAGGAAGAGCTCAGGAACAGAGAAAGAGGAGAGGCGGGCAGATGACGTCAGAATTCCTCTTAATCATGTAGAAGAGCTGAGATCTGAGGATCCCGGTTCAAAGCCAGCCTGGGCAGGAAAGTCCGTGAGACTCTCATCTCCCAGGAACCACCAGAAAATCAGCACTGGTGCTGTGGCTCAAGTGGTAGAACCAGCCTTGAGCAAAAGAGCTTTGGGACAGCACTCCGGCCCTGAGTTCAAGCCCTAGGATCGATCAATCAATCAATCAATCAATCAATAATGTGGAAGATGCTTTGGGCAGGAGAAGTTTAATGTAATCGGCATTATTTCATTTTGGGTAGAACGCCATCATTCTAAACATTCTCCTGGTTTGGACACCCAAATTTTAACACAGCAAAATGAAACTGCTAATCCTTTGCCACATTCTATGTGTGTGCACACGCGTGTGCGTGTGTGCGGGTGCGTGTGTGTGCTGGCTACTGGGGCTTGAAGTCGGGGCTGGGTGCTTGTCCTTTAGCTTTTACCATTCAACGCTGCTGCCATTTTACCACCCGAGCCTCAGCTCTAACTGCAGGGTTTTTGTTGTCGTTGTTCAGTGGAGATAAAAGTCTCACCGATGTTTCTGCCCAGGCTGTCTCTGAACCTGGAATCCCCAGCTCGAGGCCTCTAGAGCAGCAGGGATTACAGGCGTGATGGCTGGTCTCTAGAGCAGTGGGGATTACAGGCGTGACGGCTGGTCTCTAGAGCAGCGGGGATTACAGGCGTGACGGCTGGCCTCTAGGGCAGCGGGGATTACAGGCGTGACGGCTGGTCTCGTCCACAAGCTGCTGTCTCCTTTCCCTCTGTCATTCTCACCTTGCTCTGCCGTGGGGGACGTCGGCCCGTGAAGATCTCTGGGGAAACTCAGGGACTTTCTCCCCAGACCTCGAAACTCCTCCTGCAGGTAGATTGCCTTCACTTCGCACAGCGGCTCAATGTGAACGTGCCGGGAACACTAGCAGGCCGAGAGAAAGCAAACAGGAAGCGGCCACACACTGGCTACCCCAGGACCTCCGGAAAGAAGACCCCGAGAGAGCACCCGCGTCCACCCAGAGCACGAGAAGAGTGGGGCGCTCCTGACCGACCCCCACGGGGCCTTCAGCTCCAGGGAACGGAGGGCGTGTGCAGATCCTCCCTCCCTGCGCAAACACCAGAGCCACGGCCAGCTTTCCCAAAACACGCCACGGTGGGGACCCACGGGGAGCCCCCAGCCACCTGCCCCGCGCACCCCCCGCCCTCCCCCCAGCCTGCGGAAAGCCACGCTCCTCACTGCCTCCACGCTTTTACCCCGCCTGCCATCCCAGCGACTTGGGAGGCTGAGACCTGAGGATCACGGTTCAAGGCCAGCCCTCGCAGGAAAGTCCGTGAGAGTCTGATCTCCCATGAACCACCAGAAAACCCGAAGTGGCGCTGCGGCTCGAGTGATAAGAGCACTAGCCTTGAGCCGAACAGCTCAGGGACAGCGCCCAGGCCCTGAGTTCCGGCCCCAGGACTGGCACAAAAATACAAACGAATAAGGAAAGAAAGAAGAAAAAAAAAGAAAGAAAAATCACAGTAAAAAAGCAACACGTCTAGCGTAATCCTTTACTGTGGTAGGTGTCCTCCAGTAACTGTTAAGGAAATTAAAATGTCTAAACAAAGGAGTTATGTGTTTGTCAAGTATGTCATGATGTCGTAAGCATCTTACACACGTGTGTTCCTCGTGATGGAATGTGCCCCACTGCGTGTCCTGCTGTTACGTACGTCATGATGATGTGGCGTACGTAATATGGCACGTTATGGTATTTGCACATCACGGTGCTCGCCACAATGACAGCAATGTGCGATCGTGTCATACATGTCATCTTACTGCGCATGTCATAATGACATTGTGTGTGCTGTAACGGTGTGGCGTGTGTCATGCTGGCGCGTGCTATCTGCCGCGTGTGCTGTGGCCTTGATGAAGTTGAGCAGGAACGAGCCGTGGCTTCGCCGTGGGCTGGCGTGGACGCTCAGTCCTGAGTTGGGGAAACTGAGACACGCAGCCCCTTGGCTGTCCGTGGTGAGCCCCGTGGGTCACCTGGAGGACGGGTTTTGTCGCATGGCTTTGGTGTTGTTTGTTCGTGTGTCTTAGGTGAAGAGCTATGGCTCTCTACAGAGTGTGCGCTGAGGCCTGGGCTGGGGGCCCTTCTCTGCGCGTGGGATGAGTGGTTTGGGAAATGGTGTTCTCAAGAGACACTCACCTCCCTCGTTCCTTTGAGAGACAGACCTTCGTGCCAATCCGGTCCTAGGGCGCTGCCCAGCTCACCGGCGCTCGCTCTGCTGCGGGCTGCCTTCTGCCTGCCTGAAGACATGAGCTTCAGTGACATAAATACGTGACCAGAGGATTCGTTGGTGTGTGTGTGTGTGTGTGTGTGTGTGTGTGTGTGTGTGTGCGTGTGTGTGTGTGTGCGTGTGTGCGCGCACACACAGATTCACGTGCTCAATCTCAGGGCTTTATGTTCTTGGCTCGCCTTTCTTGCTCCAGGCTGACAACCTACCACTTTAGCCACACCACCTCCCCCTAGCTGTCCACGCTTAGTGCCCAAAGTTACAACTCATTTGGAATTTTTTTTTTTGTTGTTGGTCGTGGGGCCTGAACTCTGGGCCTGGGCGCTGTCCCTCAGCTCTTCAGCTCAAGGCTCATGCTCTACCACTTGAGCCACAGCGCCACTTCCAGCTTTTTCTGCTTATGGGGTGCTGAGGAATCGAACCCAGGACCTCATGCATGCAAGGCAAGCGCTCTACCACTGAGCCACCTGCCCAGCCCCTCATTTGGAATTTTCTAAGGCAAAAGGCTATTCATTGTTTTAAAAATAGGTGAGGCTTGGGCTCAACAGGCTTTCTGGAGCAACTAAAGCATCGGTGTGCAACAATATTTGAGGCTGGTTTACTGCATTTATTGTAGCTTTCCCATTTTAACTGTGAGCGTGGACAAGAAAGGGAAAAGCTCAGCATCCTCCTCCTCATCTCCTGAGATGTCTTTTCCGTGTATGGCTGAGGCAGGCGTTTCCTGTGGCAATGCGTGAGCATGCCCTCCTTACCTTCCGTTGTGTATCTAGTTCTTTTCTGCACCAGTTGCGCCTCGGCCTTTCCAGAATTGAGCTTGGAAGTCAAGAATTCTGCGGCCCCAGCATCGAAGAACGTATTGCCGATGGCTTTGTCTTTAATGGCCCAGATGACCTCACAGCCTTCCACTTCGTACCTGAAAGGAATGGTCCAGTTCCCATGAGTCATTTCCAAAGGCCAGGGAGAAGTCTCTGGATCTTCGAATAACCACAACGCCCACTCCACTTGAGCCAAAGTGAAGAGCATCTCCTAAGGCAAATTAGGAATGACAGATACAGGGAGGAGGGACTAGATCTCCCTCCCCAATCTCCCTCTCTTTCCCTCTCTCCCTCACCCTTCTCTCTCTCCTTCTCTCTCCATGATACCAAAACTTAAGCATAGGGCCGGACATTTCTTTACTCACTTGGCGCTTTACCATGTGAATCACACCTCTACACTTGCATTTTGCTGATACCATTTTGGAGATGGATTCTCCTAGACTTTCTTTTTCTATCTCCCTCTTTCCCTCCCTCCCTCTCTTTATCCTTCCTTCCTTCCTTCCTTCCCCTCCCTCGTCTTGCTTTCCTTGTGGGTTTCTTTCATGCGGGTTCTAGGCCTTGAACTCTGGGCCTGGGGGCTCTTGCTTAGCTTTTGCCCACTACGCTGAAGTTCTACTACTTGAGCCACACTTCCACCGTCAGCTTTTTGGTGGTGTGTGGGCGACAAAGAGTTTCCTGAGATTTCTGCCCGGGCTGGCTTTGAGCCCCGATCCTTAGATCTCAGCCTCCTGCATGGCTAGGATGACAGGCGTGAGCCACGGGTACCTGGCTGGTGACATTGTCATTGATTTACACATACTGACATCACACTAGGTACTAGGACAGTAACGGCTATGTTTACAAGCTAAAAATCTTCACTAATTCAAGTTTCCTTATTTTTTTTCCTTTCAGAAGTTCCCAAGCTATCAAGACAAAGAAAGATTGAGTTTACTGGGAGATCAAGATTCTTAAAGGGAAAAAACTAATCCTATTAACAGAAGGTGCTCTGCGTTCCTGCTCAGAGCTCACCACAGGCCCTGGCCGCGCGCCTGACCTGTCAGGTTGTACTCAGCACCCCACTCCCTCCCTTCCAGCAAGGTGACCGCACATTTTATCACGTGACTCTGCGTGCCGCCTGAGTCTACCTTTTGGGTAGAATGATGGTATCGTTGGGGAAAATCTTACCCAAGAGAATAGAGGGTCAGCCTACCTAAAATAGGAATTTTCAAAGCTTGTAGCAACAATAAAAGCACTGCATGCGAATGGATTAGTGTTTCAATGGCACAATTAAAGTGCTGTTTTACTATTAATGGCACAACGCTATTAACAGTATTTTTAGTGGTGCCGAGCATTGCCGACTTTATTTTATAGGCTGAATGCAGTGGGTTATACGCCTTTCCCAAGAAGAATCCATAAACGGACAAGAAAGGGGAAGAGGCTTCTGACAGATGCCAGTGGTGTCTGCCTGTAATCTTAGCTACTTAGCAATGTGGGATCAGGAGGGCAGGTAGTTCAAAGCCAGCCTGAGCAGAAAAATCCACAAGAGTCCATCTCCTGAGGAACCAACAAAAAGCAGGTTCGAGTGGTACAGTACCAGTTGAGCGAGCAGGTCAGGCAAGCGTACGCACACACGCACGCACACGCGCACACACACACACACACACACTGAAGCAACAAAGGGAAAGTCAAGACTGAATGAAAATAAGATCTGAAGAAAATAGTGGCCAAATCTGATTAGGTCAAACTGCAAGTACTGTCTGCAGAATGTCTTATTGTCAATGGGTTACTGCGTGTTTATCCAACATAGAATCGGGGTGCACTGGGCTAACATAAACAATGGTGGATGGAGGGATGCATAAAGCAAGTGCTTTCAACCTACCTATATAGTTTTATAAACAATATATACAATTGTATATAACTACAGAAAGCTACGACTATACTTCTACACAAGTAACTATATAAAATTATAGCAGCTATATGTACAATTGTAACTGTAATAACCTATATATAACTATATGAACTATATAGCTAAATGTATAAATACTTTAGGGACTGTAGTTTGTATGTGCGCTATTATGTATTTTATGCTACGTTATATAATTAACATGCTATATCATGATGATGGGCTACTGTAATGTAATACACTGCATGTTCTGTAGTTCACTGTTTTGGCGGTCGTGGGCCTTGGGCTCGGGGCAGGGCGCGGCCCCTCAGCTTCGGCTCAAGGCGGGCGCCACCGCTGTCTAAAACCCGGAGTTAACGACGCATTTCGTTTAGACTGGAGAACTTTCGACGGGCGTCAGGAACATCGGGGCTGCGGCTTCTCCGTAGCCGGGCCGCCCGCGCCCCTGCCTCCATTCCCGTGGCCGGGCCCCGGGCTCGGGGCCCCGCTGCAGGCTCCGGGAGGCCCCGGGCCCCGCTGCAGGCTCCGGGAGGCCCCGGGCCCCGCTGCAGGCTCCAGGAGGCCCTGCAGACGGTTCTGAGGGGGAACGAGCCCTCCTCCTTGGAAGCATCTCCCGCGCTCGCTCGCACTGGGTCTGTGACCTGCTGCGCAGCCCTGCGGTCTAGACTGAAGTTAACCCCGCCCGCGCCCCGGGAAATGGGCGCCCTGGGCTGTGAATCCGGGGCGGCCCCCCCCCCCCCCCCCCCCCCCCCGCCACCGGCTCCGACCGACCCCGCCTTGGCCCAGCCCGCGGGGACGCGCCGGCCCCGGCCGGCGCCAGGGCTGAGCCACGGAGCCACTGGCCCTCGCGTGGGCCGGCCTGTCCTCGGGGCGGCCCGCCCCGCCCGGTGCTCGGCGCGCAGCCTCGTCCCCGCCCCGGTGCTCGCACGCAGCCTCGTCCCCGCCCCGGTGCTCGCACGCAGCCTCGTCCCGCCCCGGTGCTCGCACGCAGCCTCGTCCCGCCCCGGTGCTCGGCGCTCAGCCTCGTCCCCGCCCGGTGCTCGCACACAGCCTCGTCCCGCCCGGTGCTCGCACACAGCCTCGTCCCGCCCGGTGCTCGCACGCAGCCTCGTCCCGCCCCGGTGCTCGCACGCAGCCTCGTCCCGCCCGGTGCTCGCACGCAGCCTCGTCCCGCCCGGTGCTCGCACGCAGCCTCGTCCCGCCCGGTGCTCGCACGCAGCCTCGTCCCGCCCCGGTGCTAGGCGCGCAGCCTCGTCCCGCCCCGGTGCTAGGCGCGCAGCCTCGTCCCGCCCCGGTGCTAGGCGCGCAGCCTCGTCCCGCCCCGGTGCTAGGCGCGCAGCCTCGTCCCGCCCGGTGCTCGCACGCAGCCTCGTCCCGACCCGGTGCTCGTCCCCGCCCTGGGGCCGGAGCTGCGGTGGCCGCCCACAGAGCGCGGAGCGCACTCACACCAACTCCAGGGCGATCCCGCCGTTGCCGACCACCACGATCCTCTTGGCCTTCGCGAGCCGCTTCTGGAACTCCTGCATGGGGAGAAGGGGGGGGGTCGGGAGCGGGGCGCTGCTCCGCGGGGGGGGGGGGTCTGGAGAGGGGCGCTGCTCCGCGGGGGGGGGGGGGGTCGGGAGCGGGGCGCTGCTCCGCGGGGGGGGGGGGGTCTGGAGAGGGGCGCTGCTCCGCGGGGGGGGGGGGGGGTCGGGAGCGGGGCGCTGCTCCGCGGGGGGGGGGGGGGGTCTGGAGCGGGGCGCTGCTCCGCGGGGGGGGGGGGGTCGGGAGCGGGGCGCTGCTCCGCGGGGGGGGGGGGTCGGGAGCGGGGCGCTGCTCCGGGGGGGGGGGTCTGGAGCGGGGCGCTGCTCGGGGGGGGGGGTCTGGAGCGGGGCGCTGCTCGGGGGGGGGGGTCTGGAGCGGGGCGCTGCTCGGGGGGGGGGTCTGGAGCGGGGCGCTGCTGGGGGGGGGGGGTCTGGAGCAGGGCGCTGCTGGGGGGGGGTCGGGAGCAGGGCGCTGCTGGGGGGGGGGGGTCGGGAGCAGGGCGCTGCTGGGGGGGGGGGGTCGGGAGCAGGGCGCTGCTGGGGGGGGGGGGTCGGGAGCAGGGCGCTGCTGGGGGGGGGGGTCTGGAGCGGGGCGCTGCTCGGGGGGGGGGTCGGGAGCGGGGCGCTGCTCGGGGGGGGGGGGTCGGGAGCGGGGCGCTGCTGGGGGGGGGGGGTCGGGAGCGGGGCGCTGCTCCGCGGGGGGGGGGTCTGATGCCGCCGCTTCGGCTTCGCGGTGCTGCTTTTGCAGAGGGGCCAGCGTTCGCTACGGTCGGCTCTGGCTCCCTCGGTTCTTCCCCTCCCGCCCGTCCCCGGCCACGAAGAGGTGGGAGGAGCCGGAAGACCCCAGTGCGGCCGTAGACCGTCTTCCAGGCCCCTCCGTAGTCCCGGCCGCGGGCGTTACCTGGGCGCTGTCTGTGTCCCGGATCCCCAGCACGTAGGGGCTCCCCTCGCCGATCAGCCTGGGCCTGGCTCCCGCGCACAGGCAGAGCTTTCTGTACGCGTGCCGGCCGCCATCTTCCGTGACGACGCTCTGCAAGGCGCGGGGAGGGAATAGGGCTCAAGGGCACAACGCGGCTGCCGACTGAGACCGCCAGGGGGCAGAGCAAGCCCTCCCCCATCCCGGGGCCCTGTGGGCGGCGCCCGAGCGCGCTGCCGGGGCTTGAGACGGAGCTCTCGGAGCCCGGCCGCGACCGGAGCCCGGCCGCCATCGGAGCCCGGCCGCCATCGGAGCCCGGCCGCCATCGGAGCCCGGCCGCCATCGGAGCCCGGCCGCCATCGGAGCCCGGCCGCCATCGGAGCCCGGCCGCGATGGGAGCCCGGCCGCCATCGGAGCCCGGCCGCGATCGGAGCCCGGCCGCGATCGGAGCCCGGCCGCCATCGGAGCCCGGCCGCCATCGGAGCCCGGCCGCGACGGGAGCCCGGCCGCCATCGGAGCCCGGCCGCCATCGGAGGCCGCGACGGGAGCCCGGCCGTGATGGGAGCCCGGCCGCGATGGGAGCCGGCCGCGATGGGAGCCCGGCCGCCATGGGAGCCCGGCCGCGATGGGAGCCCGGCCGCCATCGGAGCCCGGCCGCGATGGGAGCCCGGCCGCCATCGGCGCGCGCCTCCCTCTGGGTGCGGGGAGGGGGAGTGGGGAGGGGGTGAGTGAGTGAATGAATGAGTGAGCGAGCGAGTGAGTGGGTGAATGAATGAATGAGTGGGTGAATGAATGAATGAGCGCGCGCGCGCGATCAAGCGGCTCACCCGCTCCGGGCCCTTCAGCTGCCTCGCGGCCGACGCCACCACCGTGATGTTGGGGAAGCGCTCCTCCAGCGCGGCGCCCGGCTGCTCCTCCACGTCGAACTCTTCCAGGAGCCTGGAGACCTGGGCGGCGAGACCCGAGGGCTGTGGGCGCCGACTCGAGGCGCCCGGGACGGCGAGGGCGGCCCGGAAGCGCCTCCCGCCCGCGCGGCCGCGGAGTGAGGCCTCGGGGCGCAGGCAGCGGAGGGGACCCGGCCCCCATCCTCACGCCCCCCACGGTGTGCCCGGTGCCCTGCCTGGTGTCAGGGGACCCCCCCCAGCTCCCAGAGCCTAGCCTCTGGGAATGACGCCTTCGAAACCAAAGCTGGGCGGACGTGAACTGGCAATTCATCCGCTTGAAAGCAACGAGGCTCAGACGGGCGCAGGGGAGAGGCGCAGGGGAGAGGCGCAGGGGAGAGGCGCAGGGCCAGGCGCAGGGGAGAGGCGCAGGGCCAGGCGCAGGGGAGAGGCGCAGGGCCAGGCGCAGGGGAGAGGCGCAGGGCCAGGCGCAGGGGAGAGGCGCAGGGCCAGGCGCAGGGGAGAGGCGCAGGGCCAGGCGCAGGAGAGAGGCGCAGGGGTCGCGCAGGGCCAGGCGCAGGGGTCGCGCGGGAGAGGCGCAGGGGAGAGGCGCAGGGGTCGCGCGGGAGGCGCAGGGCCAGGCGCAGGGCCAGGCGCAGGGCCAGGCGCAGGGGTCGCGCGGCGCCTTGAGTCTCCTGTGCTGCGGGGTGGGGAGGACACGTCCCTGCCCGTGTCTTCCCCTCTCCCCGTCCCTCCCTCCCGTCGCCGCCGCGGTCCACAGCTCAGTTCCCCGCGCCCGGCGTCTCTCCACGGCTTCGCTCTTTCTCCAGTTCTGGGCCTCACCTCCCAGAGACGTCGGTAGGAACGCACCGCAGACAAACAATACAGAACCATCAGCCAGAGAGAAAACAAGCCAAAGCAAGGCGCTGGTTTCCGTGTCTTTGAGCCCATTTCGGTGTGCGCACTATTTTACACACGCATGAACAGGTGCTCGGGTGTCTCACCTTCGTGATTTTCTCCTAAGACAATTCTCTCCTGGTCTCACGGTTTAAGTGGGTATCTAGAATCCTGTGTAATTTGCCAAAACCCCGTGCATTTTAGACCTAACTTGCACGTGCCGGTGTGAGTCTCTGATCTTGGCTGACCTCACCTAACATGATTTGTTCTAGTTCCATCCATTTCCCTGCAAGTGGCATCAGCGGGCCCTTTCTGACGGCTGGCGCATGGCATCTTGGCCTTTCAGTGTCTGACTGAATGGAAGATAACAGCCAGCATTCTGCCTGGCAGGAATTCCAGACGTTTCTTCTCCTTGTGGCTTTGGTTGAAGTCCCTGCCAAGTGGGCCTCACATGGTACGGAGCAGATGGTGTGGCCGCATGCATAGAAAACCCTACCGACTCCACCGAAATGCTATACAGAGACCTCATTAAACTGCAGGCCACGGCGACGGACAAACATAGTGTTTCTTTACACAAACAAACTAAAAGAGAAACTTAAAAATGCAATCCCGCCCAGGCACTGGCGGCTCACGCCTGACATTGTAGCTCCTCAGGAGGCTGAGAGCTGAGGATTGCAGTTTGAAGCCAGCCCAGGCAAGAAAGTCCGTGAGACTGCTATCTCCACTCAATTACCAAAAGAGCCAGAAGTGGGGCTGTGGCTCACGTGGTAGAGTAGTACTAGACTTAAGCAAAGAGACAGCACCCAGGGCTTGAGTTCAAGCCCAAGAACCAGTACATGTATGCACACACACACACACACACACACACACACACAGAGCAATCCTATGTACAATTAACTCCCAAACAACAACAACAAAGCTTAGTGATCAGATTGACGAAGGAGTAAATGATATGCACGCTGATGTTCATGGATTAGAATACTGCCAAGCTAGCCATACTGCTTAAACCAATGTCGATTTAACTGCTAAAGCAATTCCAGTGACACTTTTGTCACAGAAAGAGAAAAAAAAAATCCTAAAATTCATAGGGAACCACAAAAGACTCAAACTAGCCAGTCATCTTGAGTCAAAAGAATAAAACCACCACGTGCATCACACAAATGAGGAAAGCACAGCAATCCACAAAGAAGGTCTGACATGAAAACTGTAGATCAGCCAACGGCACAGAGCCCAGAACCAGAGCGTTTATGGGCTGTTGATTCTCAACAAATGCGCCCACCTGGACAACTGTACACAGAAGAACGAGGTGACACCCTCATTTCACACGACAAAAAAACCCACTCACGTGGATTACAGCCTCCACTCACGTGGATTACAGCCTCCAGGTAGAGCTAGCGCTTGGAACTCTAGTATAGAAGAAATCACGGGGAAAATGCGCCATGGCATTGGTCTCCGCGAAGATCGTTGGAGGCCGTATGACCTTGGAGGAGAGATGCGTACGTGGAATTACAGCAAACTAAAATGCTACTGCAGAGGGGTGGAAGGTCCAGGGTGAAGGGACAGCACACACAGGGGCGAAGACGTGACCCCCCACTGGACGAGGTGTGAACACCCAAAACTCGCCTGAAACCCAGTCAACCCAATGGGAAGAAAACAAATGGTCTACTTAAAACCAACGGGCGAAGGACCCGAGTCAACCTATCTCCAAAGAAGGTGGCCAAGAGGTGGACAAGACTCTGAGAATCGCTGATCATCAAGAAAATGAAAAAATCCACAGGAAATGAGATCTCAGCGAACCCCTTCTGGCCGTTCAGTTCTGGCAACCCCACCAGTGGGTAGATACTGAGGAGAAATGAAACGAGCGCCGTGTAGACGTTCTTCTGTTCCGGGAGGCGTTATTTTCCACAGGTCTGGACTCAACCTCAGTGTCCTCTAGTGGACGGCAAGACTGCACACATAAACCAGACTATGACTCTGCCTTTGAAGAGGAGGAAGTCCTGTCCTGTGAGTGGTAAGTGAGATGGGTCGGGCACGGATGGCAGGGAGCAGGTGGGGAGACAGACAATAGGTCAGGTGGACAGATGGCACACCATCTCATTTCTGTGTGGGATGGAAAACCCTCAAGCACAGGAACAAGAGACCAAGGCGCAGAGACATTGGGCAGATGCCGGTGTCAGGACACCAGCGTTCGCGCGGGCGGCAGGGGCGGATGAAGAGACACCTGCTGTACGTCACAGTGACTGTCGCCAATAACAGCACACGGTGTGTCAAGAAACTGCTGAAGAACAAGTCTAAATGTGCAGTCAGAGTCCTTGGCATGAGCGTGAGGTATAACTTGCTTTAGGTGTCCACATTTACACACATATTAAAACACAACTTCTCTCTCTCTCTCTCGAGTCTGTCTCTCTCAAATATATACACATACATTTGTGTCTATGTAAATATACAATTATAGACTATACACAATGTTACATAAAATATGTTATATGTAGTATATATATTTTATATACATATATGCATATATATAACATATCCAAATTATATATGTTTATATACGTTATACATATCTACTATATATTATGTACAATATATTTTATATAATACCTATCTATAATACATATAGTATATGGTATATTGTATAATACATGCCATATAATATATAACATGTTGTATGTATATATAACATATAATTCTATAACTATATATAATTCTGACTTGTTGGCTACAATAGAAACACAAATATTCTAAATATTCTTCAAGTTTATGCTTGTAAGAATAATATATTCATATTCAAATGAATACTCAAGCAGTGTAGTGACAACAAAATCTCATACCTGCTTGAAATTCGTAACTGCTTTAATGACAGGAGAAGCTGTGATCAGGAGAATCTCCTCTGATGGAAAGTTAACGGCCAGCTTTAAAAAAAGAAAAGAACAAGAGAGAGAAAAGAGGCGGTAAATAACACTAGGTTTTGCTCCAAGAATGAGGTTGGGGGATGGGGTGGGGACCATTCAATTTTAATAATGTTATTACTGCAGAAAATTGAAAAGTCCACTTTCTTCACTGGTCAGCATTATTCTGGTCTTGTTTCTATTACAGGGCAGTAGTGAGTAATGGTAAAGGTATGCACTGGGTGTGCCTGTCCTGGGGCTTGAACTCAGGGCCTGGGCGCTGTCCCTGAGCTCTTTTGCTCAAGGCTGGTGCTCTACCACTTGAGCCACAGCTCCACTTCTGCTTTTCTGGTGGTTCATTGGAGGTAAGAGTCTCATGGACTTTCCTGCTCAGGCTGGCTTTGAACAGGGATTCTCAGATCTCAGCCTCTTGAGTAGCTGGGATAACAGGAGGGAGCCACTGGCGTCTGCCTCAATAATGCTGAACTCCTACATTGAAGAAATAAATGAACAGTATGTTTAAACCTTTAACCAAGGCCTTCTGAACAAGAAAGCATTGTACAAAAAAGCATTCTTTCTTTCAACTATTCTATACGTGGATTTCGATTTATCACACAGGTGATGGCAAGCTGCCTTCAGAAGGTCTTTTCTTCTGTACCTGGTTCATTTTTCCGTATTCTTTGATACTTGGGGAAAAGACATCACTTCTTTAAGCCGCTCCCTACCAACTCAGCAGGCATTTTCAAACAGTTCACCTGCTGGTAAAGCGGTTAAGTTACATTTTCTGTGATACTAAATCCACCGCAGGGCATAAACATGCAGCTGACATTTGATTACTTGCTGCCAAGTACAACCCTGGCATGATACACGCCTGCTTCAAGAAAAAACACTTAGCAGGGTGCTGGTGCCTCATACTCAGGAGGGTGAGATCTGAGGACAGGGGTTCAAAGCCAGCTCGGGCAGGAAAGTCCATGAGGCTCTTATCTCCGACGAACCATCAAAAAGCCAGAGGTGGAGCTGTGGTTCAAGGGGTAGAGCACCAGCCTTGAGCACAAGAGCTCAGGGACAGCGCCCAGGCCCTGGGTTCAAGCTCCCAGGACTGGTACGTGCACACACACGCGCACACACACACGCACACACGCACGCACGCACACGCACGCGCACACACGCACACCACTAGATGCACTGCAAGTTCACAGCCCGGGACCTGCACACTGGCTGGCTCCTTGTGAATTAGTGGGGGTGTGAGCAGGCCTTATTGCTCATCTGGAAAGTAAGTTCAGCCAACTGAGGCAATCTACCAAGTGGGGCGGAGGTTTCTCTGCCCCAATTAAAAAGCAAACAAACACGCAAAACTTTGGCATCTTGGACGCAGCCTGCTTTGCTCTCTTCCTCCCGATCCTCAAACACGGGGACGTGGAACCTTCCAGGCCCCGCCAGGCCAAGGCCAACCTGACCCAGGCAGGACCCAGCTCAGGGCCGCCTGCGCCAAGCCGGGCCGGAGGCTCAGGGACGGGGCGTGGCCATCGCAGGGACGGGGCGTGGCCATCCCAAGGACGGGGCGTGGCCATCCCAAGGATGGGGCGTGGCCATCGCAGGGACAGGGCGTGGCCATCCCAAGGACGGGGCGTGGCCATCGCAGGGACAGGGCGTGGCCATCGCAGGGACGGGGCGTGGCCATCCCAAGGATGGGGCGTGGCCATCCCAGGGATGGGGCGTGGCCATCCCAGGGAGGGGGCACAGCCATCTCAGGGATGGGGCGTGGTCATCTCAGGCAGGGGGCGTGGCCATCCCAGCGATGGGGCGTGGCCATCCCAAGGATGGGGCGTGGCCATCGCAGGGACAGGGCGTGGCCATCCCAGGAACGGGGCACGGTCATTGCAGGGAGGGGGCGTGGCCATCGCAGAAAGGGGGCGTGACCACCCCAGGGACGGGGCGTGGCCATCTCGGGAGAGGGCGTGGCCATCCCAGGGACGGGGCGCAGTCATCGCAGGGAGGGGGCGTGAGCACCTCAGGGAGGGGCGTGGTCATCCCAGGGAGGGGCGTGGCCAGCGCCGGAAGTGCCGGGGGGGCGGCGCGGAGACTTCCGGCGCCCGGACGCCCGAGGGCAGCCGCGCGCGGAGTCGACCCCCGCCCGCCGCCCGCCGTACCTGCTCCGCGCACGTGACGCCCGCGATGCCGCCGCCCACCACCACCAGCCTCGCCGGCGCCGCCGCGGGCAGCTGCGCGGCCTCCATGGCGGCTGCGGGTCCCCGGAGCGCGCGAACGCGGGGCGGAAGCGGCGGCTGTGTCGCTCCCCCGGGCGGCGGCGGCGGCGGCGGCGCGTCACTTCCGGCCACGCCCCCTGCCTTCGCCTGGGCGCGACGGGCGCCCGCAGGGGTCACACTTAGCCGAACCGCGCATGCGCTCTGCATCCGCGGGCTTCCCGCCCAGGCTGGCTTCGAACCGGGAACCTGACAGCAGCCGCGATCGAGAGAAGACAATCCCCTGCGCCCCCTCCAAGAAAAACAAGCCGCAGAAAGGAAGGAAAAGAAGACAGGAAAGAGACGATGGACGGGAGCAGCGTGGCCGCCCCGAGCCTGCCAGGGCTTCCCACTCCTGCTGCTGTACAGGAGGAGATCGAAGCTTCTGGAAGCCTCTTCGTGGCCACAGGCCCCGCCTGTGGGATCAGCTTCCCCAGCGGTCAAGGTGGCGCAGCGCCCTCCGAGCCTTTTCTCCAGTAGGTTCTGCAGCTGGTCGTCCTCTGCCAGGATCAGCGTTGAGGGCGGGCCTCAGGCCCCCGCGAGCCCCGGGAGTCGCGCGGGCAGCCTCGCTGCTCACACGGGGACGGAGGAGACGGAAGCTCACGATTCCTGAGTGTAAACCCCCCGAGGTGGCCCGGCCCGCGCTGCCCAGGACGCCGAGGCCCCGGGAGGGAAGGCCAAGGCCAGCCTGGGTTGGAGATGCACGGGGACTCTGTCTTTCATCTCCAGTGCACCACCCAAAAGTCACAAGTGGGCCCGTGGCTCAAGGGGTGGAGCACCAGCCTTGAGTGAAAGAGCTCAGGAACGGCGCCCAGGCCCTGAGATGAAGCCCCAGGACTGGCATTAAAAAAAAAAAGGCAGTGCTAACTGCCATGCGAGAACTTTCGCCGGTGGCAGTGGCTGCAGGTGCCACAGGAGGCCTCTGGCTCTGAGGGCAGGGGCAAAGGTGAAGCCACAAAACCTAGCAGGAGAGAAGAGAGGGAGGCGGGCGGCCCAGGAGCTGCTCCCAGATTGCGGGAGTGCGTGCAGGGAAGGGGCTGCAGGATCCAGAGAGGATGATAGTTGAAGTTTCTTCTTTTTTAAAAGAAATGTGGTCTGAGACTGGGGTTTCCCAACTTGGTATTTGATACTTGTGGCTCATTGGTGCTCTACCATTTGAGTCCTACTGCCAACCCTGTAAGGGTTGGTTCTTTCATATATGTATATATAAATATAATAAATAACAAATACATAATATACATAGTCTATAATAAATAATAAATGTATAATAAATATGAGTGTACTTGTATAATAGACATAATTACAATTATATACTATATATAACATGTATTTATTTTACATTATGTACAAATATATATATGTAAACGTACATATTTGTATATTATATTTATATGTATATTATATAAACGTACATATAACATATAATATAATATATAATATACATAATATGAATAAATGTTATAACATTTATATAAATATGTATAACTATGTTATAATATATTTATATATGTTTGTGTATGTTTATATATACACATAAAGATATAAAATATACACTATACTATATATAAATATATGCTATATATTTTTATATATTTAAATCTGTACCTGGTCATTCTTTTTTTCCCCTTCCCCCCTAGAAATTCTTTTTGTTGTTGTTGTTTGCTTGTTTTTGGTAGTCATGGGGCCTGGCCGCTGTCCCTGAGCTCTTCTGTTCAAGGCTAGCGCTCTACCACTTTGAGCCAAAGCTCCACTTTTGGTTTTCTGGAGGTTCCTTGGAGATAAAGAGTCTCATGGACTTTCCTGCCCGGGCTGGTTTTGAACCCTGATCCTCTAGATCTCAGCCTTCTGAGTAGCTGGGATGACAGTTAGGGGATGAGCCATTGGTGCTGGCTTGTACCTGGCCATTTTCAACTGGTAAATGTACCCTCTTCAGTATTATGCCAAGATAGGAAAGATGACCGACCAGTCCTAGACGAACGGTGGAGAGAAGAGAAAGCCGTGGTATTGGTGAGTGACTTTGGATAGATCGTGTTTCCCCTTCGCAGAGCAAGTTTTGTTTTTCTTCCTTGAATCCATTCCATTCAGGCTTTGGTGCCAACAATCACAAAGACGGACTTGTTTTGTAAGTCCTTCTACATTGCTGGATGGGAGAGAGGGGACGCATTGTGTCCAATCTCTTTGAACTACCAGAGAGATGAATGTCCTCCTCCTCCTCCTCCTCTCCTCCTCCTCCCTTCCTCCTCCTCCTCCTCTCCCTCCTCCTCCTCCTCTCCCTCCTCCTCCTCCTCCTCTTCCTCTTCTTCCTCCTCTTTCTCCTCCTCCTCCCCAACTCCTCATCCTCCTCCTCCTCCTTCCTTCCTCTTCCTCCTCCTCCTCCTCTTTCTCCTCCTCCTCCTCCCCTCCTCCTCTCCTCCTCCTCCTTCTCTTCCCCCTCCTCCCCCTCCTCCCCCTCCTCCTCCTCCTTCCTCCTCCTCCCTCCTCCTCCTCCTCCTCCTCCCCCTCCTCCTCCTCCTCCCTCCTCCTCCCTCCTCCCCCTCCTCCTCCTCCTCCCTCCTCTTCCCTCCTCCCCCTCCTCCTCCTCCTCCCTCTTCTTCCCTCCTCCTCCTCCTCTTCCCCCTCCTCCCCCTCCTCCCCTCCTCCTCTCCTCCTCCTCCTTCTCTTCCCCCTCCTCCCCCTCCTCCTCCTCCCTCCTCCTCCCTCCTCCTCCTCCTCCTCCTCCCCCTCCTCCTCCTCCTCCCTCCTCCTCCCTCCTCCCCCTCCTCCTCCTCCCTCCTCCTCCTCCTTCTCTTCCCCCTCCTCCCCCTCCTCCCCTCCTCCTCTCCTCCTCCTCCTTCTCTTCCCCCTCCTCCCCCTCCTCCTCCTCCTTCCTCCTCCTCCCTCCTCCTCCTCCTCCTGGTCTTGGCCTCACCGCACCCGAACCACATCCCAGTCATTTTGTGTTGTTCATTTTTCCAGCTAGGTTCTTGGGCTTTTCCCTACCTCCTATCTCCACCTCCTGAGGAGCTGGGATTGCAAGTCTTCCCCACAACACCTTTCTTGCATTTGAGATAGGGTCTTGCTAACTAGATTTTTTTTTTCTTTTGCCCCTGCTGGCCTGGGATTGCCATCGATCCTCTACCTCCACCTCAGTGTTACAGAGATGACAGAAATCCACCCCCAAATCCACCGAGCGAACCTGGCTTCGAATGGTCCAGGTCATTCGGACGTTTGGCATGGAAGACCTCTCCTGTCCTTACGCAACAGTCAGCAGCTACGCAACAGGACAGCCACGGATGATAAGGAAATGAGCCAGCCTGTCTGTGTTCCTGTGTCAACCTTATTTATGGAAGCTCCACGTTGAATTTTTGGTGAGACCTTCACACCATTTACAAATCCAGCCATCCATATGGCCATCCACAGAGATACACGGGAAGCTGTACGGAATACTATGCAGCCTGGATAAAGAGACCCTTCATCCAGTTCCTCCCAGTGGAAACCCCCGGAGAACCTTACCGCACACAAAATGTCACACGCAAAGTCCAAACACCCCCACGGACACTCACGGGCGCCTCACCATCTCCCTTGCCACAAAGTTTCTTCCAGTTGCTTCCACGTCCATCTCCTCCAGGCCCATGAGCCTAGACCTCTTCTTGTCCATTTTCCCCTCAGGCATGATCATTTGGGAAATTCATCTAGGTTCACGCCGGTCTCCATCGTTGGGGTGACTTTCTCCGACGTCACTCGGCGGGGAGAGGAGCATGAATGAGACAGTCCACCCTCTTCTAGCTGCTAAGTAGAGGGGCCAGGCTACAGCCTGCATCTTCCATTGATAGCTGGGGTAGGAGGTGAGGGAGAGGAATAAAGTGTTTTCCCCTGACAGCATTGCCTAGGGGCCAGAAGGAGCGGGTCATCATCATCATCATCATCACCACCACCACCATCATCATCATCATCATCCTCATCATCATCATCATCATTTGTCAGTCCTAGGGCTTGAACTCTGGGCTTGGGCATTGTCCCTGAGCTCTTCAGCTCAAGGCTAGCGCTCTACTGCTTGAGCTCTACTTCCTGTTTTCTGGGTGGTTCATTGGAGATAAGGGTCTTACAACCTTTCCTGCCTGGGGCTGGCTTTGAATTGTGATCCTCAGATCTCAGCCTCCTGAGTAGCTGGGATGACAGGTGGGAGCCACCGGTGCCTGGCTGAGCCTCATTATTGCTCGGCTGGGTGGATTAGTTAATTCTCCATGACATCTCTACAGATCTTGTAATGGTGGCTGAGACCAAGAAGGGAGATTCATTCTGGCTGGCAAATGTGTGTGTGTGTGTGTGTGTGAATTGTGGGGCTTGAACTCAGGCCCTGGATACTACTAGTGCTCTACCACTTTGAGCCACAGCTCCACTTCTGGTTTTCTGGTGGTTCATTGGAGATCAGAGTCTCACAGACTTTCCTGTCCAGACTGGCTTTGAACCATGATCCTCAGATCTCATCCTCCTGAGCAGCTGGGATGACAGGCGTGAGCCATCTCGGAAGGCCTTGGTCCAGAAAGAAGATGTAGGCCCTTCCTTCTACCTCTGTTGGCAATGGCACAACCATGGTTGTGGTTTGGCTGGGGGAAAGAGCTTATTACCGAAAACTTCCCTGTCTGGCTAGACTGCCCTTTCCCTGCTCCTTTGGTTAGAGAGAACAAAGGTACTTTTTGTTATTCTTTGTGCCCATTGGTGTTTCTGGTTCACTGGCTTCTCAAACGCAAAGTCTCAGATGAGAAAAAAATGAAGAAAATCAGGAAATTAGCTACCGTGCTAATGGTACTTCTAGGACCCCAGCTTGTTTGATTCCTCTATGTTTCCTCTATTTTTCAGAATCTCTATTTTTCTGCTGAGGGAATAACACCTCAGGTTGTTAGTAGCACCTACAGAACATATACAAATGCTTGCCTACTTATCTTCCAGCCAGAACCTGCTGAGTTCTATAGAATCTCTTTGTGCTATTGAATATTATTCCTATTTTCCCCAGTCACTTAAAATATGAAGACTCAGCTTACAGGCCACGGAAAA